TGTGTGTGTGTGTGTGTGTGTGTGTGTGTGTGTGTGTGTGTGTAATACTACAGAATAAACATTAATTAATCATATGTATACATATATGTATATTTTCATAGCAACATACTTCTTAAAATTTATAACTTCATAGTTATGAATCATCCTTTTATTTAACAAGGTAAAATAACAACATTAAAAATACAATATTAAAAATAAAGGCTACGCATTATTTATGTTATCCTATGTATAATGCAATAATTATTTAATTAATTTAAAATTATTAGATCTATATATTTTAAGACTTATGTTGTACAACTGTTCTTACAAATTCTATTTCACACTATATATATTTTTTAAAATACTCTTTTTTTTGCATGTATAAAGGTGATGCTGGATATCCTTTAGAATCTTGGCTCATGACGCCCCTGCCACATTATCCACAACAAGTCGACAATTTCGTTATAATGAAAAGTTATGCAAAGCAAGGAGTGTTGTAGAGAGATTTTTTGGAGTTTTAAAAGGAACGTGGAGGTGTTTGTCGTATCAACGTGTATTGATGCATGCTCCAGAAATAGCAGGGCAGATTGTAAATGCATGCGCAATTATACACAACATGCGTTTACATTATCGACTGCCATTTGATGAAGAATATTTACAATATGAACATGCAGAACCTGATAAAAGAGACAATGATGATGTAATACAAGGTGAAGTACCTCGTAGAGTACCTAGAGCGATAGCACAACGAATACAAAAACAAATTATGCGAGAGTGGTTCCTTAATTATTACTGTGCTTGGGATAATGATGGAAATGAATAGAATCACGAATAAAAGGTAAAAATATACAAGATAATTGTAAGATAAAATAAAAAAATATATTTTTTTTAAAGAGAAATATCTATAAATGCCGAAAAAACTTAAAACTGAACAATAAAAATAAAACTTGTGTATTTTATGTAAAATAATATTTATGATTTTCCAAAGGATTATTGTGTATTTTCTTCGTATAAAAATTTATTAATTAATTCATAAATTAGTTCCATTAATTTCGTTTGACGTTTTTTGTTTGCCATTCTGTCTATAGCATTACTAAGTTGACAAGTAGCTTCCGCTTGTAGTTTCATGGCTTCTGCCAATGTCTGTAAAGATAAAAAATTATTTTAATTAAATGAAATTTAAATGTATCATCCTCTTGAATTTATAAAAAGATCAACCTTCATTGCATCAGCATGTTTGTCTGCATTTCTTCGAATGCTTCTCGTGCATCAACTAATTGAACACCCAAACGTTCTGTACGTACATCTATAATTAAAAAAATAACTTTATTTAATATTAAAAGTAGAAACAAAATTTTTTAATTGTGAATTATGATAAAGTATACTTACTCCTTGTTTGTTTTCTTTTTCCTGTGTTTAATAATACAATAAAGGATTAATAATATTTAGCGTTTGTAAATTATTTGAATTAAAAAAAGTTCGTAACACTTTTACATATTGTAATATTAATATGTAGCTAACATATATAGTACCTTGTGATGTTGATGGAATACATAGAGATGAGGTATCTTGTATTACATTTTCATTTTGAATGACATTTTCATCTTGTGTTAAATTGTCATTTTGTATTACATTTTCATTACAATTTTCGAAGTCATATTGTATTATTGTGTCTGTATCATTTTCAGTTAAATCGGCTAAAAAAATTATATATTTTGTTAATCCATTTAAAACATACAGAAGAAAAATTGAAGATATAAACCATTTGTCTCTTGTGGCAGTTGAGCAATAATAATAGGAGCTGGAGCATCATTTAGTAACGTTGAGTTTCCTACAGATAATTCCTCAATAGCACATTCTATAAGATTATAAAACAATTATAAGACAAAATATATCAGATCAGCATATATGTGGGCACGTGTAATAAATTATTGTAAAACAATTTTTTTATTTCTTACGTTATGTTCTTCCGGGAAACTATCCGGCACATTTAACAAGCCTTAATTAGAACATAATCATGACCAATTATGCCTAAAATTCTTTTATCTAAATCAGTCAAAGTTATTTGAACTGGATTATTTCCAGTGGCTGCCTTTCCTTTTCTTAGTTTTTGTATTTTCTCAGATACTTTTGATTTATGATCTCGCCATGTCTGTGTGTAACAAAATTAAAATATTATTGAATTAAATATAAAAGTATTATTTATATATACTTACAGTCTTCCAAGATTTTATATCTTTTGCTTTTCCATGTGGAACTAATAAATTTAAATGAGTTGCTAACTCTTGCCATCATTTTTCTAAATCATCACGTGCATTCATAGATGTAAATTTTCCTGAAGCAATTTCGGGATGTTTTTCTATGTAACTTACTAGAGCCTCAATTTGTGGTATGGAGGCCCTTCCTTGGCGAATTCTTTCCTTTTTTCTGAGAAAACATTAATTCGTATATATACATACATATATGCATAAAAAGCATATATATATATGTAAGTATATATATATTATACATACATTAAAATATTTATTAATAACATTTTGCCCATCAATTATTAAAAATTGATTTTACATAGCTATTTTCTTTTTTAATATAAGAAAGAACCAACGCTACTTATTGTTGCAATCAATC